CGCGCCCTACAACGCATATAGACGTCTCGAACGTCAGCGACGTCAACAAGATGTCGTGGCGCCTCGTGTCGAGCCCCCGACAAGGACAAGCCGGCGTCGGCGCCCCCGCCCCGCCCCAAGGCCCGCGGCTACCACACGGCCAACATGGTCGGCAGCAAGCTCATCATCTACGGCGGCTCCGACGGCGGCGAGTGCTTCAACGACGTCTGGGTCTACGACGTCGACGCCCAGGCCTGGCGCCTCGTCGACATACCCGTCACCTACCGCCGCCTGTCCCACACGGCCACCCTCGTCGGCTCCTACCTCTTCATCATTGGCGGCCACGACGGCAACGAGTACGCCAACGACGTGCTGCTCCTCAACCTCGTCACCATGTCCTGGGACCGCCGCCGCGTCTACGGCCTGCCGCCGAGCGGCCGCGGCTACCACGGCACCGTCCTCTACGACAGTCGCCTCTTCACCATTGGGGGCTTCGACGGCAGCGAGGTCTTTGGCGACGTCTGGATCCTGGAGCTGGCGGTGCATGCGTATTACTCGCAGATCAGCCACTTTACCATTGAGGTGTAGTTCAGCCGTTCCTCGGTGGCCAGATGCAGGCTTTGCGTTTTTTTTTTTCCATGGCTCATAGTTCTTTCTTCATGCCTTTCACGTAGTGCAGCGTTGATCTCGGTGTCGGATGGTCGGATGGCCCCCCCAGCGTTGGCTTTAGATGGGAAGGCGGACTCTTTGATGTACCATTTTGTTGCGCCATGGGTGGAGGGATCCAAGTTCAATGTGTTACACGATATAGCGTCAGATGCAAAAGCAAAGAGTAGCGGGAGGTATGATGAGTTCCATTATGATTTTGACCCATGATGACTTTGACCTTTTTTTTTCGCTTCCATCACCACGCAACTCGTACACGCTCTGTAATCTGTAGAGCACTCCAAACGCCATTATAAAACAAGGAATAAAAAATGGGCATCAATCATGCCTCTATCTCCCCGATCCCAGCCCAACGCCTCCAGACAAGGTCCTCGCTGCATTTCGATCGATCGCTCCGCAAAAAGACGGCACGCTCACTGCTTCTGCGGGACCTTTGTGCTCTCGCGGTCCTTGATCCTCTTCTCCTCGGCAGCGACCATGTCCTTCCACAGGTCCTGGCCCTCATACTCCTCCTTGTGGACCTTCTTCTCAATGAGGTGCTTGTGCTCGGGGTCGTCGGGGTCGAGGACCATGACCGTCTCCCAGCGGCCCTCGCCCCTCTTGGCGTCGTTCATCTCAAACACGGCCGTGACGACGAGGACGGCGACGGTGAGGGCCTGGGCGTAGACGCGGGCCTGGACGAGGCGCTGGGCGCCCGTGAGGTACTTTTGGCGGTTGACAATGGCCATGGCGGCGGCCATGGAGGCGATCCACGAGCCGAAGACGATGCCGTAGCGGTTCGTGCGCCCCCAGCGCATAAAGGCGTCCTGGGCGCTCTCGTTCTGGTGCGCCAGCTCGCGCGCGCGCTGCGACGCGTCCTGGTAGCCGTACATGGGGTCCTTGGCGTGGGCGAACTTGATCGACTCGCGGTCGGCGTTGACAATGGCGCCAAAGGTCGCCGTCGACGTGACGAGGAAGGTGCGGAACGGGAGCGTCAGGGCGCGGAACGCGGGGTAGCGTCGCGAGGCGAACATGGTGCCTGCGAGGCCGCCGACGAGGCCGAGGGTGCCGCCTATGGCGCCGCCCTTGAGCACGACGTTGTAGTGCGCCCTCTCTTCTTCCTGGCTGAGGACCTTCATTGTGTTTGGGTGTTTGTGTGTTTGTGATGGTGGTCTATGTCGGGAGAGCAGACGGCTCAACTGGCAGGCAAAATGTCCAACGGTGAGAGGATGGATCCAAAGAGTGGTTCGAGATGAGATCAAGAGTGTGACTCTCCGTCAATGGATGATGTGATGCGATCGTACTAGAGATAGGGGAGTCGAAAAGATCCAAGACCCTTTTATTCAAGCTGCAGGAATCGTGTGCACGGCAACAGGGAAAGGGATGGGAGAAACCGTGTGCACCAGGCGAGCAGAGGACGAAAATCACGTACGGCGATTGAAGCTCCAGCAACAGCTCAGTCTCGGCAGGCGGCAGCGGAAAGTGGTGTCATCGATCATCATCAGGGCAGGCACGACGGGAGACTGACGTAACGACAAAATTCACGTCTTGGACCCCGAGAAACATCCGACCTCCCCTCTCATTGGCTCCTCGCTGCCTATTTGGCTGAATCAGCAGCACGCAGTCCGGGAGACCCCGAAACCGTCGAAGAAGGCGCCCAAGGTCATCTGATGCCCGCCGCTTGCAACCCGCATTTCGCCGTTTGCTGGCGATACGCCGAACAGCGAAGCCCACCCGTTCAGATCCCGACACAACCACCGCCAACCACTGCGTGTGCACCTCGAGCCTCAGCTCACTCCAAGCCTGCCCACCTCACCCAGTCAGTACACATGCAACATGGTACGCGCACCACCCGCAGGACCTGCTCACGTGCCCAGCCAAGGGGGAAAACAAAAAAAGACCGGCCTCGACTCGACACAAGCGACAGCCACACCACCAGCCATCAGCCCTGCCACGATCGATGCATCTCCGCCCTCGCTAACCATTTTCTGCCATGGCACGATTCTTTTCAGATCGTGTGCATCCCCAATGCGAAATGTGCGACCGAGACCCAAGGAAAACCATTGCCTCTCCCGTTGCTAGGTATCTGACTCAGGCATTGCTGACAGTTGTCCTAAAATCTCCGACACTGTTTCCTTGACCCCATCCGGAGCGTCTCCAGCCTGGGCAGAGGACAATTTTATGGCGTCTTCGTACCTGCATGTGTCGAAAAGTGTCATGGCAAATACGTGCGGGTGGCGGCTCGACTCCAGCTCGTCGTTGACAACACCATGATCGAATTTGGACTGGACAACCTCTTCGATAGGACCGCAGCCGTCTTTGCTGTTACTGGTAAGGAAGCAGCACCCGCACACCAGATTGGGTGGTCAGATGTCTCTGAGCCCCGGGAATGAGATTCAGGGTCTCGACACTTGCGTCGCCCAGGTCTCAGCTTGCCCTCCGCTCCGTCCGGGGGACTGGCTTGCCTCGGAAACACGAGACGATCTCTCATCTCGTCTCCTTTTCGCTCCTGCCTCGAGTCGTCCCTCACATGCCAAGTCTGTCCTGTGACCCCTCCAGCGAGGACGACGGGGTAAAATCCGTTCACCCCAAACACCTTGTTCCGTGGATGCTCCCAGGCGGCGCCACCCCCCCCCCCCCCCCCCCCCCCCACGCCGCCAATGCACGCACGCCCATGTAATGCCCAACAATATAGTGCCCTAATCCAGGAGATCGCGTGTAGCTTGTCCGAATTGCAGGGCCCCATCTTCCACAGTACCTAGTTCATATTGCTGGCGACACTTGTCCTCAACGTTAAGCGCCCCCTCCGTGATGAACACGATCAGCCCAGTACAATATGCTCGATTTTAACCGGCGGCGTGGCTGATCTTACCTCCAAGGGGGAACTGCTCGGCTGTCCTGACGACGATCCTGCGCTCCGGGCGGTGAGCCTCATGAAGATCCGTCCCGCTTGGTTGCATTTCCGAAATTCAGGGTCTTTCATGCGCCTCGTCCGCCTCGCCCTTGGCCGCCCGCCCACATTGTGCCTCACGGTCCAGCACGAGAACCACAATAGGACCCTTTTTTGCCCTCTGCAAACGAGTCCAAGAGACGGGGCCGGTCCGAGCAGAGCAACAAAGACACGAAGAGGGGCATTGTTGTTGTTGACACGAATGTTGTCCCTGTGTGAGCGGTCCCAGCGATCATCCTTCCTCTTCTGGAACCCTTCCACGATCCCTGTGCGCGACGCACATTTGTAGCGCAGTCGTAGCGGCCGAGCTCAACAGAGCACTCGCTCGGCTCGTGTCCGCCACTCGTTGACACTTGACACTGCTGTGCTGATTTCAGGGTCCTGCAGTGCTGCTGCTCCGGAGACCAAGCCCCATTCGGCACCCAGCGTGACTCCCCTAGTCCGCCAACCCGCCAGCCCGCCGCTGTTTGGTCTCGCCAGCCAGCCTGTCACAGGGCAGGGCCAGACCATCACCCGAACCACTGCCATGGTTCTCTATCGTCAATGTGTTCCTAGATTGCCGAGGGCCCGGCCACAGCATCTGACATGCCCAAAACGACGGCCAAAAGGGCCACCACCGAGGCTCGACATCTCCGCCCATTCGATGCGAGACGAGGTTCGACTCACTTCGCTACGGCACTTGCCACTTTGAGCCCCCATCCGATAGTTGAAACCAGCTGGGGCTTTTGCTCCGCCGGCTCTGCGCTGCCTGTTGACGGAATTTCTTTTTTTTTGTCGGTGGCCCCTCTCTCGTCGTGTGCCTAGGGGTCCCTCAGATCCGCTCAAGTCTGCAACGCAAATTGCACCGACTGCACCCACCTGCAGCTTTGATGTGGCCTTGTCGTTCCCGTTCGTTTGTCTGCCGCGTAGGCGGCATTCTCCGTGCTTGCCGTAGCGTCGCGTCGTCCATGTGGCAGTCCTTTTTCTGCCCAGACATTCGCCGCTGGGCTTCCCTTCTAGGCAGAGCCGCCTCAGCCAAGGAGGCTCCATCCATGGTCTGTGCTCGAGCCTGACATCTGAGGCGACATTGTATGCCGAAGCTAAAAAGACCTCGACACCCAGAAGACGATGGAGACAATGCCACGCGCTGCGGGAGCACATTTCCATAACTGGGGTATTCCCGGTGCCGCTTTCACCAACCATCGTCAGCCGAGTCAGGCCGGGCTCGGCCTCGGCGTCATCGGCGGCGCCACCTCGCGAGGATCCAGGAACGACCGTGTCGCCTTACGTACAACGCTCAGGTGGGCGGCGTGACCAATTGTCCTGTCACAGGCTCGCCGACCGACGGGAGGCTTGTCTACCTGCCGTGCTCTCATTTTGGGCTGTTTCCTTGGCTCCCACTGCCCCCTCCGAGAATCTGAATCCAGAAACCAGTGGTGTGCAAGCTCCCGGCCAGCCGGGGCCCGGGAGGCTATGCCGAGTTGGCAGCCCCAGCCATCCGGACCAATCTTGTGTCACCACTGGCGAGCCCCGCTAAAGGGAAAGCACTCGTTCGACCAAGGCACAACTACCTTGCCACCAATTTCCAGGTGCAAATGGCTACCGTATCGATCTCGGTCAATCCATGGTCGAACTGGCAAGCCACCTGGAAAGCGCTCAGGAAGTCGTCCGGCCGTGAACATGGCCCAGGCGACACGAACGTCTCACATGTGCCTGCCAAGGCGAGCAAAGATCTTCCGGGATGGAGGCTTCTGAATCCACCTGAGCCGCCCACAAAAGAGTGGGTTAGTGATGTCAACATACTTGCTCCAAGTCGGTTGAGATCAGGAAGCCATCGCCAGATCGATCTGAAAGGGTTGGTCGCTTGGTGACGGCGCCGACAAGGTCTCCACCGTGATGTATTGCAATATGCCGGCCGCTGATCACACCTCCTGGGCCCCAGATGATGCCCCCCAAGTCAACTGGTGCCTCTTGCATATTGCCGACGCGGTCCAAACGACTGATTGTCGTAATGTCTGTCCATCATTGCTTGTTGATCTTAGCATCTTTGCTGCCGATAATGTGCAGCAAATGAAGCCGATGGAGAGGGAATGGCCTCTGATGAGATCATGAACGGAGCGGACTCGGTGCACACAGGTCAAGGTTGAGGCCCGATAGTACCATGCATGTACGATGTCATGTCGTCTGCAAGTATAGCTCGCGAGTCAACAGCCCAGCGGTTGGGATTCGCAACTCTCTCTACTAGATTTTGTCGAGCCACCGACCCGTAGCTTACTGGACACGGTCTTGGCAAGCAACCGTTGTCCAGACATTGAGCTCAAGGCATATGTATGCCTTGCTGCCATCGCGCCCTCTCACTGGAAATGGCCTAGGCCAACTTCTGAAGCTGCATAGCCCGTCAGCCCTTTGTGGTCGAAGCTCCATCAGTGAGAGACCGAGTGGGTGTGTGGCGGTTTGGGCGGTAGAGATGCACATGTGGACATGATTTGTTGCGCATGGCTTCGGGACCCTTGATCCGTTCTGTCACTGTGTGCATGCGATGCGGGTACTGCATTGCATCTCACAGCGGACAGCCTGGACCAGCCCATCCGTCATCCTCACCGCCTTTCGCAATGGGACTTACATGTGCCCCTCGCATATTCAGTTCACGAATACGCCCAGGCAGAAGCAATCCATCCCGAGGAAATACGGCCTGAACTCATTCGGGCGCTAACATGAGGATTCGAGGGGGCTTCTGCTCAAGAACTTGAGCATGGATGCTCCAGCCATGACCCCACGCCGAGACGCTTCCCGGAATTCTGAGTGTTGCCATTTGTTGCAGCGCAGACGCCTCGGTGGACACGCAACGTGCAGCACTCCTCCAGGCTGTCTCTGCACCCACTGTCAAACCACTCCCACTCTGTTGGTAGCGTATGTTTCTGCCGCGCTACAATTTTCTGCCAAACACAACGACAAAAGGACGTCTACTCGGCTGCCTGACCGTCCTACTCATCCTCTGGCTTGGGCGGTCTTGCATGTGCGGCGATGGTCATCGTGGCAGCCCACCATGCTACGCCAGGGCTCGGGTTGCGTTACCATGACTCACAGCAGCCTCAAGGCAACGGTTCGAGACGTCACCACCAACTCATGAATTCCTGGGTAAAAGCTCGGTGTTGCTGGCAGCGAAGAAGAGCTGCAGCACCTGTCGCCGCAAACATGGCTGTAATGGACGGGTGGTGTGGTACTCAAGACGCTAACAGTCCCGCATGAGTCAAGTGCGGTACAGCGGCAGCCTCTCTCATTAGCTTGCACCAGTGGGCGGTCGAATCTGCCCCCCCTCTTCCAGCCCCTGCTCAACAGCATTCGTTGTGAGGTCCATGGCGACGCTAATCCATGCGCGTTCATGGAGCACATAGATGCTTTGCAGTGTGGTGGACCTAAGAGATTCAAGTGTCAAATGCCAAAGCTCAGAGCAGTTTGATCGCATCGTAGTGCTTCGGGTGCAAGATTACATCCTAGACGGAACGTGTCTTGCATGAGGGAGCTATTATGCCTTGCTCAAAATCTATTCATCGCTGGAGAGAAGATCTGGCGAAGAGTTGCCGTTGATCGAATCAAGGAGTAGGAGCAGAGTGATCCATTCCGGTTGCTACTTACGGCAGGTATCGTGGGCTTTCTCAACGGCTGGGCTACGCATTGACAAAGATTACAAGAGTATTTGGTGCATGCCAAGACACACTTCTCAGGACTGGGGCATTTCCCTCTCCTTAAAAACGGTAGATCTGAATGTATCAAGTCTAGCACCGGGTCAGGAGAACGAACCAGCCAATTTCGGGCAGTTTACCTCGAGACCACGCATTTCTGAGGTGGGCAGACGACAGCGAGGTCAAACGCGTCGGAACAGAACCCGACAGTCACAGCCAAGTCTTTGGCGGAAACGACCACAGCGTCCGGCATTGTGCTCTGGGCTTCGATGTAACGCATCAAAACCCGGCTGGGTTGCCCATGGATCCTTAACGAGCAGTTGGAGGCGAGCATGACTTGCGGTCATGAGCTTTGGTGAGATCATTTGCCTCATCGTAGGCGTCGTGAACATGGCCAGTCCGCCTTTGAGCTGTCAGAGGCACCCCGACCTGCCGCGTCGCACTCATGTGTCGCTGTACAGAGACAAGGCAGTTGTTTGTAGATCGTGCCAGTCACAGAGCTGGCTCCATAACAGCCGCCAGCCCAGCCAGCGTAGTGCCGGAGACGGGACTGATCGCAGGCAAGCAAGAGTGTCAAGAACGATTTGGTCTTCAGGTTTCCCAGCAACATTTGCTGATCACAGGCCGGCCGGTGGATGAGTGGACTAGCCTGGCGGTTGGCCTCACTAGGTGTGGTGATGGAGGTGTAATCGAGACGCCGTCTCGACGAAGAAGAGCCCCTCGACTCGCCACAGGCTCGCGCAGCTCGTCTCGTTTGCGGTATGCGGTTGGGCGATAAGGTTCCGTCGGGGAGAGTCATAGGCACTCGAATGGGCGCTGCCTGTGTAAACCCTCCTGTCCCTCCGGACCAGAGGGGTGCAGGGCGGCCAGGCAGCGAAGGCGCAAAGCAGCAAGGCGGCTGGATGGAGGGGAGGAAGAAGCAAAGTCTCGTGGCGATAGCTGATGTCTGATGCGACCAACTGCCTCAATGCATTGGTGAAGCAAAGCACGGATGAAAGCACTACTGGCGTGAGTGCGTCACTACCCCTGAAGGGGGCAAGACAGGAAGAGGAAGGAAAGCATTCAAGGTGCTGGGGGTGCGGTGAGAAGCAAGCAGCGACAGCCCAAGCAGAACACATCCACACACGCAAACATGCCCGTCCACAATAGTACAGTACCTTACCTACGGCGGAAGGAAGGAAGGAAGAAAAAAAAGAAGGGTCTCATTCCGTGCGCATCGTCAACAACAGGGAAGCACCTGCCACCAAGTGAGCAGATCGGCGACGTCCACGACAGTGGTGCGAACAGGGAACTGGGAAGGAGAGCATACCCCAACCTCCTTCCTGCTTTGAGAGTGAATGCAAGGTTCCGTGGCTCTTGCTGCCGATGCCTCGTGGAAGTGGTGAGGGAAAGAGCAACAGACAGACGGTGACGGTTCATGGTTCACGGCTCATGACCCAAGACTGGGAAAGCATGGAACCCGGCAGGTACATGTGGCTGACCAGGCAAAGTGGGTGTGGGGGGGGCTTGCCGTCCGTGACATGACTCCAAAAGGTACCTTTTAAGACAGTGGCATGGCCACTCAACGGCCAAGTATTACCACGACGGTCGATTGCTCCTCAACAACAGCCAAGACGGTCACTTCCTGGTCACTGTCACTTCCAGCGACCATCCATCCCATCACACCCGGACACCTTTTTCACAAGGCGATCTTGGAGTATACCTCAGCCCGGCCTCGCACTTCGACTCGACTCGCCTTGACTCGATTCCTCTTCTTCTTCTTCTGCTGCCACTCCCTCTTGATCCTGAGTTTCGTTTAGAATATCAACTACTTCATCCTTCCAGTGCCCCCCCCCCCCCCCCCCCTTCCCTTCTGTCCTGATCAAGCAGCACCCGTTCACACTCTCATCATTCTACCGTATCTACCTTGGCAGGCACTTAGGCACCCACCAGTCCAGCCTGCTCCGGCTCTAGACACCTTTCTCATCAAGGTGACCACCTTGACGTTCGACTTTATTATCCACGAGTGCACTTTTTTTGGTTGATAAACCACAGTCAAAGGGGCGAAGCCTCGTTCATTCACCATACCATCGAGCTTCACAGCATCTATCGTTCGTCATCCTCCTTCGGCGACAATAGTCTTTACTCGACGGCGTTAGGCGTCCTCTGTTTGCCATCGCCCACTTGGCCGCCCACCTCCCGTGTTCCGGTGTCTGACAAACTACCTGACTGCCTCGGCCTCGGCCACTTCAGTAGCAGCAGCCACTAGCCAATCCGCCGGCGCGCACATCAGTTGCCAGCGAACCGCGCAACTGCGAACACTCCGAAGGGCTCCCTCCTCTACCTCTTCGTCGACCTGTCCAAGTCCGGCGTTGGCTTACTCGGGATCATCTACTACTTAACGTACCACACTCTTCCAGGTGGACTGCCTGCGATCTCAGCCGGTTCGACTCGACACGACCCGCAAACGTCGAGAAGCGAAACTCCCTCCCCCAAGTCCCCTGCACCGCACCTGCAGCCCGCCCCCCTGGCCTGCTACTCCACCGCCTTTCCCCTGTTATTACCTTATTACCTTCTGGCGCAAAGTACTGCCCAAGACCGGCGACCCTCTTCTCGCGCTAACACCGCCCGCTTGTCCTAACTCATCAATCGCCCTGGCCCTGCACCTGCGCCTGCCCTGCCTGCGCACTGCAGCCCACAGCTGACATGAAGAGCGCTCTTCGCTGGTTCGCCCCATCACCCTCCTCCCCTTCGAGTACCGAGGACCCTAAAGAAAGAGACCCGTCCAGCCGGTCCGCCGCTGCCGCCGCCTCCGCCTCTGCCTCCGCTCACTCTCATCACTTTCACGCCCACACGCACGCACTCTCGTCACACGCAACCAAAGCACAGCACCCCTCCGCATCCAGACGCTCCCACTCCCCAGGCACCACCGACTCCTCATCGCCCTTGTCGGACAACGTCTTCACATCACCCTCTCCAGAATACTCCCATTCGGCCTCACTCACGCCGAACTCGCCCCAACCCGCCACGCCCACCGATTCCTACGCCCGCGACACCGCAGGCCTCGCCTCTTCCAAGCCAATTACCATCGCCACCCCAACGCGATCCTCGTCCAACAATTCTCCCACCCCTCTCCCACCCAAGTCGAGCTTCGACAGGAATCCTTTCGGCATTCCTGAAGACCAGCTCGTGTTCGCTCCCATTTCCTTCAGTCAGGATACTGACATGACCACTGGACCCTCGATGGATTCCGCCATGGGGCGCAGTCGCCAGGACTCCTTTGTGAGCGCCGGACCGAAACCCATTTCCATGAACAATGCCAGCCGCGACAATGCCAGTCGCCAGAGGCGCGAGAGTCTCGCTGGCAGCCTCATGGCTGGTGCCAGTTGGGGCGGCATGTCCCTGGGCAGCTTCATTCGCGATGAGTATGTTCCGCTGAACCCCGCCTTCTTCCCCCGTGTTGCGCCTTTTGCGCCGCCTTTTTTCGCGAACGCCTGACTAACGACTCTACGCGCAGTATGCTCATGGCCGGCACCTCGCCCTTCACCCATCAACAATCTCCGTCACTGCACTCCTCCTCTTACCTTCCAAAATTCGAGGCCAACTTTATGAAGGACTTTACGTGCTGCGGACTCAACCTGTCTAACCTGCACGAACTTTTGCAACACTACGAGGAAGCCCACACGCAACCCAGCCCAAATACCACAAGAAACGGACCTTTCGCCACACAGTTCGCGCCGCTATCGCCGCCAACGGGGTCCAGGGCTTCATCGGCACGGCCCTCGATTGGCTCCGTTTCAGCTCTGGGCCAGCAGAATGTCTCCAAGCTTCAGCAGTCCCGACCGAGTCCCAGCATCTCTTCGGCCGGTATGGCCAGCATGGGGGTGCAGATGGGACAGCAGTCGGGTCAGCAGCATCCCATGTCAACCCACATGGATGAACTGGATGCAGTCGAGGACATGGAGATGGATGACGCAGTCGGACACATGGAGATGGATGACGACAGCCAGAGGACGATGCACCAGACACGGCAGCTCTTCGGCCAGCAGCAGCGGCCTCAGCTCCATGTGAACTCTTCAGGCATCACACAGGGCCTTCGCACTTCACAGCCCACAACCCCTGCGGCTGCTAGCTTTGGCTTCCAGCACAACCCCACGGTGTCCTCCGTGAATACCCCGACCCTCACTACTCTCCAAAGCCCTCAGCAGCAGCGCGGAAGCACTGGTTTCCAGAACAATCAGATGGACAGCATGGTTGACGAGGAGCTTCCTGGCATGCCTATGGGTGGCAATATGGACCTCAACGGCGCCAACTTTGGCGGTGACATGGGCTTCGGCAACGCCAACAACAACAATACTACCAACTCTGAGTTTTGCATCAACGACCCTGGCAAGCACCTCTTCAGTCCAGGTGGCGCTCTCACAACTCAACAGAGAGCTCTCCAAGCGCAGCTCGTCACACTGGGCTTTGACCCTAGTCAGCCCAACAGCGCTGCCAACACGGCCCTGATCCAGAAGTTCAGCGCAATGTTGCACAATGAGGAACAGAAACCTTTCAAGTGTCCAGTCATCGGCTGTGAGAAGGCTTATAAAAACCAAAACGGACTGAAGTAAGTTCATACCGACCAATCTAGCACCCACACTTTGACTGACTCTTCCTCACTACAGATATCACAAGCAGCACGGTCACCAAACACAGCAGCTTCACGCCAACGAGGACGGAACATTTTCCATTGTCAACCCTGAGACGGATGCACCCTACCCTGGCACACTTGGCATGGAGAAGGAGAAGCCATTTTCCTGCGACGTCTGCGGAAAGAGGTACAAGAACCTCAATGGTCTTAAATATGTATGTTGGCATGATCATTCCGATCTACAAAGGCCTCGCTAATTCAAAAAAACAGCACAAGGGACATTCTGCGCCATGCAATCCCGACTTCAAGCTCCTGGCGGCTGGGCTGAACATGCCAGGTGGGCTGCCTGGGCTGATGGAGAACCAGCTCGGCAATCTTCCCGGTATAGGAGAGGATCAGCAGATGATGTAACGCACCTGCGTAGGCAAGGTACTACTGAAGCTGGAAATGTCTCTCAGTTTCACGACGAAGTACCAGCCGCCGATCGCTCGACGTCCGAACTCAAGACAGCACTTACACGTTCCGATCGATGCGATTTACCACCTCTGGGAGCGGAAGGCCAGCCTCTGCATTGCGCGGCGTTCGTGATTATTGTTTTCCCCATTACGCTGCCGGGTCCTCTCGGTTCACCCGCAGCTGTTTCATTCCCCTTTGCCTGCTTTATACCCGATAGATCGGCCGGCGCCATTCGATGATTTGGGACATACCGATGAGGGCTGTAAACGCCTCAATACACTATAATACAGCCAATGGAGACGACGTCGTCTACGAAGAAGGATCAGCGTTCGATCATGACTGCTATGAGTTTCTCGACGACGAGCAACTATTCGAACCGCTGTTTTGTTATGTCTTTGTTTCGAAATTGTTTTATTTGACATGTTTATGTCTGGCGCTATGGAGGTGGACGCCAGCGTTGTCGTTGTTGCTGTTCAAAAAAGCCACACGATGCTGTCTGGACACACGAAAGTGACGAGGTGATCCTGACGGCGAGGCATCGGGCGTCCAGATTGGTTGTGGTTACAACGCATGCAAGGATGCCAGTTTCGGCGAGGAAAGACGACGACGATATCTCTTCGCTGTCGCCAGGCACGTCAAATCACAGGATTGGTTTATTCGGCGGGGTTTTGGTTTTTGGTTTTTTTGATTTTGATTTCAGCTGAGCGAAACAATTGCTAGATTGCAGGCGTTTGACGCTGGGATACGTGGGTGTCGGAAAAGTACCAAGCGAGCAGGTAGTATGAAGCTCAGAATAGAGAAAATGTTTTTCATTGCTGGTACTCCAAGCCATCCACCCGTGACGGTTTCCTCTGCTTGTTCTCGAATCATGAATCACACTGAGCGACTTAACGTGACTCGCTGGCGACAGCGCAACGGTACCTTGTATGATCGTCGTTGGGGCCATCTCAAGGATTGGGTCTTGATCTTGGTGTACCGTCATGCCTCCTGCAGGGGTGAAGGCGGGGTCATCCTCGCGTTCGGGGTAAATAACAGCTCGAGAGACGTGGGACAAGGCGGCCGGCCGGCAGGGGGGGTGGGACTGGGATCAAACGAATCTGTACCGTCTTCTGGCCGGTGAACGCAACCTTGACTCGCGCGTAGGGCCAGCAAGTCGGAGGACAGAATGGGTCCTGGGGGTGGAAGGGCCGTGCTCCTCTGCGAGTAGCCGATGGAACATAGTACAGCGATACGATGATGATGGTGGTGAAGATACCAACGGACTGTTAGCTGATAAAGGAGGGAGCAGGGAACCGGGGACTTAGGAGATGGAAGGGTCAAAAAAAAAGGCGCCCTTTGTGTGTCTACGTGTGGTTGGCAGTCCATCTACTGGCACGCCCGGAAAGCGGATGAGGTACCCTAGTCTAGAGTTTCGAGACTACGAGCCTGGTGCTACGCAGCTGTGCAAGCCACTGCTACGTTGTTTCCGCTCGTGCCAGCAAAGTACCATGTACATGGTACGCATACATGCTTTTGTGCTAAGCGGAATCAGGAACTTGGAGGAGGGGGAGGAATTGCTTCTTGCGCTATGTCTAGTTCTGAGTCGCGTGTTGGAGTAACCTGGTGGCCCCGACTCGCGGCGGGCGGCCGGGTGAGGGTGGCCGGGGACCGGTGGGGGGTGTCCACACAGCCCGCCGGTCTTACAGGAGATCGACGTAAGTCCTCCATGGACATGATGTGATGATCATCAGCGTTTCTGGGCTGGGGCAGGGATGGCGGGGAGAACGGGGTTGGAGGGGTTGGAGGGGAGAAGAACCTTCTGTAATTGGCATGATAGCCGATGATGAGCATCGAGGATCGAGAAATATCAGATAGAGATAGCATCAAGCGATGCAATCAAATGTATTGGAGGAAAGCTAGAGATAGTCAATGGTGCGCCAGTGGAGACGTGAACCAAACGCCTTGCGATGCACCATCGTATGTAAGAGACCGAAACAAATGAAAAAGGATGATCCATCAACGCCGTCATTGGGTAAGGGCAGAGATGGCAGGGTTGTTGCAGGACGACGGACTCCAGTATGGGAAGTGATCGATGTCATGTCCCTGGCCATCGCTGGGATTCGTATCCTCCATGTGTTGTTGTTGCAACCGATCACACGTCTCCCACCCCCACGCTCAAGCGTCGTCACCTGTTCTTTCCAAGCAAAGTCGCCAGTCATCAGTCGACCAAGCGTAAAATCATAACCATGTATCCTGCATGCAAGTCATGTCGTACTGACGTGGGTGCCATCCGGCCCCCTACCGCCAGCCGATTCAGCTCATCTCTTCGTCATCGGGATCGTCTTCCAACATCTGCGTCGTCTGGCTGCTGAAACTCTGCTTCCTGCCGACGCTGTCACCGTATCGGGGAACCGTTCAGGCTGCCAACGTACTCTAGCTCCTCACCTCCAACGACCCGGCCCTCCATGTCGATCTCTTGAGACAATTCTACAAGGGCTGTCCGGGGTAAACGGAGAAATCCCTTCAGTCCGCACAATGCGGCCCCAGTGTAAGAGACAGAACTGCGCAGCCCGCTTCCTCAGCCACTCCTCGTTAGCAAGCCCGGCCGAGTGCCATATGATACAGGCGTGATCGACATCGAGCTCCTTCAACAGTCGATTCACACAGAGGAGCCTCAGGCGCGGGAGGCCATAGATGTTGGACATGACGAGAAGGCCAGCGACGTCGGCGAGTTCCGTTGTGGCCTCACTGCCCTGCACAGACGTGCCGTGGATGCTGTCTGTGTAAAGATAGTAGAGAAATGCTCTGACGACCGAATAAGGCTCAGGAATGTGCATCTTTTTTGTGTGGAACTCAGCCATCTGAGAATTGTACAATCGGGCAAAATGAGGCCATCGTGCCTGCAGGATGAGTTTGTGCACGTGTATGGGTTGTGATGTATGAGTGCCCGGAGCAAGCCAGTTTTGGTCGGGAGTATCTTCGCCGCTCCGTGGCATGCTCTCTTCATCCCAGGGCCAACCTCCAGCCAGGGCCGTAATAACAAAGTCCGCGCCGCTACCCGACTCAGGAGGCTGGTCGAACAGCGATGCGAGATCTGCGCCTAGGCCTCGTGATGGCTGGTCGATCGCACGAGTCGGCCGAGATTGCGTCACTGGCTCTGATGCGAGGTGGTTTCCGAGGAACCCATATTTGCGAAGATCAATCTCCATGATGTCGCTCAAGTATTCCTCAAATCCATTGGGGCCCAGGTCGTTGGCCGGTGGATCTGTCGGACAGCCGAGGAGCCACGCCTTGGTTCCGTCTTCGTTCATGGTGCAATAGTGCCAGCGATAGCCGGATTTGAATATCTCCCTGCCCTCGGCAAGCTTTTGCCATCGGAGTGTCTGAAGGTCCAGGGCTGACAAGGAACATTCCTTAGATGTGGTTGTGACTGCTGGCGTGACAAAATCGAGCAGCGTGCCTGACGAGTATACGTGGAAGTGTATACCGGAACCTTGCGGTGGTATGCTGGGCCCGCCTACAAACTTGAGCGATGAGATGGTACCAGGTGCAGGCGGAGCGTACGTCTTCATCTGGAAAGAGGGCGGGTTGACTTGTTGCGTCCGAGAATTGGCGGCATAGCCAGAAGTTCCAACCGCTGGGGTTTGTGTCAAGCTGTAAGGGGGTCGGGGTGAACCGACAGCGCGGTTGGTCCCTAAATTTCGGTCGTAGATGCCAACATTGGGTGCCGAGTCGAACGCTGGGCTTCCCTTTAGGTCTAGCCACCACAAGTCTCCAGTCTTGTCCATGTCTTCGCCCATACCACCAAACACCCACACGCGGTCGTTCCATATGTACACGGAATGGTCGAAGCGGCCAACGAAGCGCCATGACCTAGACCAGGTGAAAGTCTTCAGGTCGAGGTAGCAGATGTCATCTAACACGTAGTTATCGTTGCCTGTGATACCTCCGACAATGAATAACTTGTCTTCGTGTAGAACAGCGGCGTGTCGGGCCCGGCCCTTGGGTTTCGGTCCGCTCGTTTGTGGCATTGTCCAATGAGCGGTCTTGAGATCAAAGACTATGAGATCGGACAGGTAGGTTCGGTGTTCATTCTCGCCGCCAAAGACAAGCAGCTTGTCGCCAGCGTACATGGTGGCAGTGTGTCCTGGGTGACAAACAGGTTAGTCTGATGCAGAGGCTTCTGGTCCGAAGCGTAACTTACCCATGCGAACACCTGGGATGTCACCATAATTGTCGATCAGACTCCACTGATGGCTGTTGAGGTCGAGCTTGAGGACATGATTGTAGACCTCATCGGTGTACTGGTCAAATCCTCCAAAGGCATAGATGGTGTTGTTTCCGCAGTAGGTCACCGAGGCATTGACAAGACATGCCGGTCGCTGGCCCAGGGTTTTCGTGACCTTGGGACGGTAGCCATCGAGGCCGGTCCTGTTCTTGATGGGCGAGTTGGGCATGATGTAGGTGTTGTTGGCAGAGCCATCTGAGCCAGGCGAGCTGTCGGAAGGGCCGGGGCCGCTGGAAGACGGAAGGAGAGAGGAGGAGGCACGGCTGAGCGTGTTGGTGTTGGCGCTGGGAGTTGATAGTGTAGGGCCGCCAAAGAGGGACGGCGTACTGGCGCCAGGCGTGCCAGGCTGCGCCGCCATGGTTGTGATGTTGACGGATCCGGATCCTCGGCGATTAGCGGCAGGTCGTAGCGGTCATTTCAGAGGGTCAAGAAGACGGAAGAGCGTCTCGGCGTGAGGGTCGATGATGGACTGGAGGAAGCCAACCTTTGGAAAAATATTTGGGACGATCTTGACAGACAAAGGAGACGGTCGTTCAGGCAGCGCAGCGGCGGTCGTTACCTGCTGTTCCTCTTCTGGCCTAGCGGCTCGTGGGCCTGAATCGGGAGGGAGCAGTGGCTGGCAGGCGGTAACAAGAGGCAGAATGGAAGGAGCGACTGACCTCATCGGTAGTGCACAGGCCAGGAGAGAGGCAGGAGCGAGGCAGGAGAGAGCCAAGAGAGGAGGGAGCCAGAGGGACGCCACTGCAGGAACAGGGATTGATTAATCAGCTTCTGATTGGCCTAAATTGGCCCCCGGGGGTTGGCTGCCGGAACATTGCAGCAACCGCAACCGGGGTGACAGGGATGGAAGCCGTTGCCCGGCCAGGTCGACAGTGGGGCATAAAGTAAATAAAAGACGTCCAAGGTTGAGCTCACCATGCCGCACCTCTTCTCTCCTCACCATGCACACTCTCCACCCGCAAGCCCTCCAACAGCCTCTCATCCCGCTCTCCTCACGCTTAGCCTGTGAAAGGAACACCCATCAAGTCCGCTAGATCTTCTTCGCTGCATTCTCCTCGCTCGAACTGATTGCCCCTCCGACTTCGAAACTGTTCTTTGCTCAGAGCCATAGCCATCACTCGAATCATCGAGAACATCGACTACCATCATACTAACGGTGCCCGCACCCATCCAGGAACCTTTTGTTAGAGTCTCTTGGAGCTCTCAGACACCAAAATGGCCTCAGCCGCCGTGACCACACCACTCAAGTCCCATCGGGGGCTCTTCACTACCCGTACCGCTGGCGGACGCATGCCTTTGACTCCTTCGCCTCGCCAGTGCTCGACCACTTCAATCCCACTGAACCTCAACTCTTCGCCCTACACCCCTGAGCGTCAGTCGAGCAAGGACGGCTACAGGCCCACCAAGTCCACGTACGGCGGAAACCTCACCGCCCACCTCGCCCGCTCGGCCACCAAGCCCAAGTCCTCTCACCGTGACTCTCCCAAGTCTAACATCGCCCGCGGTGTCGCTACCCCTCGCAAGGCTCTTGAGCTTGGCGTGTCCGACTTCACCTTGACTGGCTCGGGAAAAACTCCCTCCAGTGCTAAGCCCAAGAAGTCCCAGAGGGTCAAGTCCAGCAAGACCACGATCAACTACGGCGGCGATCGCTTCATCCCCAACCGCGGTGCGAGCTCCGCCATTTCCAACGTCGGCAGTGGCAAGCTTGATCATGCCGAGAAGCGTCCAAAGTCTAGCAACGGCGATGGCTCCACCACTCTCTCGTCTGCTGCCGACGAGGCCCTGGCTGCCCTTGAGGGCCTCAGCATCAACGATGATGATGAGCCTACCACCTACGCCCGCCCTTCCCCCAACACCGTCGCCTATCAGGACTCCCTTGCCAATGCCTGCGGCGTCAACCTCAACACCCGTATCCTCCAGTTCAAGCCCGCGCCTCCCGAGTCGTCTAAGCCCATCGACCTTCGCCAGCAGTACAACCGTCCTCTGAGGGCCGCCACGGCCACGAGTGCGCAGTTCCGTCGCCGTGTGGCCACTGCTCCTGAACGTGTTCTTGACGCACCTGGTCTGATCGATGATTATTACCTCAACCTGCTCGACTGGAGCTCTGGGAACCAGGTTGCCATTGGTCTGGAGCGCAACGTCTACGTCTGGTCCGCCGATGAGGGAAGCGTAAGCTGCCTTCTCGAGACCAGTGCTGACACCTACGTCAGCAGTGTCAAGTGGTCCGGTGACGGTGCCTATGTCGGTGTCGGCCTTGGAACTGGTGAGGTTCAGATCTGGGACGTTGCCGAAGCCCAGAAGGTTCGCAGCATGTTTGGCCACGACACCCGTGTCGGTGTCATGGGCTGGAACAAGCATCTCCTTTCGACTGGTGCCCGTAGCGGTCTTGTCTACAACCACGATGTTCGCATCGCCGAGCACAAGGTTGCCGAGCTCGTCTCCCATACCTCTGAGGTCTGTGGTCTGGAGTGGCGTTCCGACGGCGCTCAGCTCGCTACTGGCGGCAACGACAACCTGGTCTCCATCTGGGACGCCCGTTCGCTGTCGGTTCCCAAGTTCACCAAGACCAACCACAAGGCCGCCGTCAAGGCCCTCGCCTGGTGCCCCTGGAACATGAACCTTCTCGCCACGGGAGGTGGTTCGTATGATCGCCACATCCACTTCTGGAACTCTACCTCGGGCGCTCGCGTCAACAGCATCGACACTGGCTCGCAGGTCACCAGCCTCCGCTGGAGCCCCAACTACCGCGAGATTGTCAGCTCGAGCGGCTTCCCCGACAACTCTCTCAGCATTTGGAGCTACCCCACCCTGGTTCGCAACGTGGAGATTCCAGCCCACGAGAGCCGCGTCCTGCACAGCTGCCTGAGCCCGGATGGCCAGATGCTCGCCACTGCTGGTACGTGTACTCTAGCTTCATGTTCCCTGAAAACCCTTGCTAACAATAATGCTCTAGCTGCCGACGAAAGTCTCAAGTTCTGGAAGGTGTTCGAGAAGAAGGCCGGCTCCAGCTCTGGGGTTGGTGCCACCGGCACCTCGACCAAGGCCGAGATGACCAAGCAGATGACCATCCGCTAAGCGACCAAGTATCTCGTGCTCGACAGCGACCTGCCGTCGGTGTCGCCCGCCTGATCAATCAAACGACAAATGTAGGTATCTCAGCCCCTAGGGCATTCACTGTTCTGGGTTTCCAGCCGGTCTTCAGCAAGCAAGGAGTCAGGGTGTTACATGCTTCCAAACACGCCGTGGCACGAAAGAGCTTCTCCACGATGGCATGAGATGAATTGGTCATGACGGTCACGATCAACGGGAATTGGATTGGGGTGTTGTTCCCTGTTTTTGAGACGCGGCACATTTGTGCCCGCAACAGAAGTAACTATTGGCTTCCTGTGTCAAGGGGGAAAGTGGCCCGCTGCACAACAGATATCAGTTGAAAGGGAAGGGGGGGTAGCCTTCGTCGAGTGACCTGCCCCCTCGGCGTTATGGGATATAAGGGGACAACGGAATAATACGGAATTTGCTTTTTTACCATCACCATGCCTTTGACTGTGCGTCGTTTAAGTGAATCGAGCAAGTGTTTCTCTCATAATTCTATACGTACTTGATGGTAGCTCATGTGTGCATCATTTCGCCATGACCAATCCATCAGTCCTGATACGTGATGGTCTTGGTCCTCACCCACTCCTCCAAGGCACCGGCGTTGAACCTGCCATACCCGCTCGCCTTGGCGCCACCATGAGGCAGCGCCGGCTCGTCGTGCACAGTCATGCTGTTGATGTGCACAGCGCCCGTCTCAATGTTCTTCGCGAAGCGCAGGCCTCTGCGGAGGTCCTCGGTGAAGACGGCCGACGTCAGGCCGTACTCGGTGTCGTTGGCAATACGCAGGGCCTCTTCCTCCGTCTCGACCTCGTAGAGGGACACGGTGGGGCCGAACGACTCGGTCTGGTAGATGTCCATCTCGGGCGTGACGCTGCCGAGCACGACGGGCCGCATGCGCGTCGGCGAGGCCTCGTCGGCATTCGGGTCGCCGGCGATGACGCGGGCCCCCTGGGCGACGGCATCGCGGACGAGCTTCTTGTTCTTGGTGACGGCCGCGCTGGCGATGAGCGCGGGGGCGTCGGCGATCAAAAAGATGTTGCTTATGGCGTCGCGGAGAGCGGACTCAAAGGCGGCGCTCACGGCCTTGTGGACAACGATGCGCTCGGTGCTCATGCAAATCTGTCCAGCGTTGCGGAAGGCGCCGTGGGCGCACTCCTGCGCGGCGAGCTGCAGGTCGGCGTCTTCCCAGACGATGGCCGGGGCCTTGCCACCGAGCTCGAGGAGCACGGGCTTGAGGTGTTCGCCGGCGAGGCGACCAATGATGCGACCGACGCCCGTAGAGCCGGTGAAGTTGATTTTCTTGACGTCGCGGTGCGCGATGAGCGCGGCGGTGACGGCCGGGGCGTCGCTGGGGTCGTGCGCCAGGGTATTGAGAACGCCGTGCGGCAGACCAGCCTCGTGAAAACACGAGGCGATGGCCCAGGTGACGCGAGGGCTCACTTCGGGACCCTTGAGAACGACGGTGTTGCCGGTGACGAGGGGCCCAGCAATGGCGCGGACACCGAGAATATAGGGCGCATTCCATGGGGCGATGGCGAGGACGACGCCAAAGGGTTCCTTGACGATGAGGGCGGAACAACCTTCGCCGGCCGGCGTTGGGATGATGCCCTCTACCGAGTGCACCCGAGCTGCGGAGGCGATGAGTATATTGATTGTGACCTTGAGGTTGAAATCGGCCCAGGATGGGATGGCACCAGTCTCGCTCGTCAAGTAGCCGGCGAGCTCAGCGTGGCGGGAGTTCATGATCTCGGCAGTCTTGACTAGGATGGCAGCGCGCTTCGCGGGCTTGAGTGCGCGCCAGGCGGGCAAGGCCGCGGCTGCAGCAGCAACGGCGGCCTCAGCATCGGAGGTCTGAGCAGAGGCCGATTGATAGAGGTATTGGTTGGTCCCTGGAGAGGTGACGGGAAATGTTTTGGAAGTGAGTTTTTCGGCGCCGTTCAGGAAGAAAGGCACTGTGTTGGGAGAGTCCGAAGAAGTCGGTGGCAGGGCAGCCGACGAGTCGGAGGTAGGGTTAGACATGGTGGTTTTCAGTTGGTGTAACTGAGTCGTGACAAGGACTGGATAGTGGTCGGGGATCCGACGTCTTCGGTTCCAGCGAGAGAAGGGGAACAAGAGAAGTTGTAATTGAGAGGTTTTTCGGTGCCTGAGCGAGAACAGATGGGTCCACCCAGATGCGTGTCTGGTGATGTATGATGTAAGACGTCGAAGTTGTTGTTTCCGCTCTAAATAAACAGCTGCAGGTTGATTTAAAGGGCCCTGTACCTTAATTCCTTGGGTAGCACGGACAGGTTACGCTAACCCCGCGAAAGTCCGGGGCGTGGCATCTCGACTATCGCCGTCGACCCCGCACCGGCAGTCAAGCAAGGCAGACGCTCTGGCATCAATACTCACGCATCCTATATCACGTAGCTATGCTGGCTGGCGGCGCCGTCGGCGCCCGAGATCAGAGCTTCCCCCAGCTGGGGCCGGGTCAAAGCGGGTATGTGGGCGCGACTTGATCGGGTCGCAAGTGGGGTTGCACTGGTGCTCATTTTGGGCGTTGTCCGTGAGAGGTAAGGTACCTAAGGTAGATAGAGATGCAGCGCAGCATGTACTTGAAATTGTATCAAGTTGTTGTCCGTTTTTCGTGCTTCCACTTCTGCAATACTGCCGGCTGGAGAAAGGGCTGAGGAATCGCCGACGTGTCCACTGAAATGGTCTCAACTGTGTGAAGAATCAGCATGGGAGCCAGCCGGTCAAGTATGCGAATCCACAACCTTCGGAAACGGCTCCACCGGGAAGAATATACTGTACATCCCTCTGAGGCCTCGGGGATTCCGTGTAGGAACCCTGGCCTTGGTATGGGGGAGGGAACGTCAGCGACACAGGTGCCTTTGACTTCGCTGGTTGTTTCTCGGTGGCCATGATGCAAGCCCGATTATGCTGTACTTGAGGCGTGGTAGGTCAGTGCCGAGTCTGTAACTGGTGGTCATTGATGAGGATATGCAGAGGACGTAATTGATGTCTTTTCTCGTGGTGAGAAGGGATGCAAGAGCTGCTGACATAATATTCCAACTGATTTCAGAGTAAGGTAGGTACCTACCCCCGCAAGCCCAGGTACCTACTCACTTTGTCTGACACTTGCGCCCTGACTAAGAATGGGTGGGCTGCAGTCCGTCACTCCTGCCACATGAGCAGACGGGCGCCTTGTGCAAACATGGCTCCTCGTGCATGCCGGGAAGGACCCCGCCAAGACAAGAAAAAACGAAGGCTTTGGTCTTGACTTCCTGGGGGAAAAAACACGTGCCTCAATCTTGACCAATAAGGACGTGGAGAGAGCACCCTCTAGCCACGAGCTAACGGTGAAGAACCCCGCAGATGCTTTTTGCCGAGCCCCTCATGATATCGCTGCTTTAACTTTGATGGAAGACGCTGTGCTGGCAGTGGCTTGCAGTGTCTGCGCCACAGACCTTCCACAATGGTCACCGCAAAGCCTCGAACACACCGTAATAAACAGCTGACGGATTTGGTGGCAGTACGAAAACGGCAAGGGGCACCACTTTCTGACTCTTGACTTCCGAGGCGGTCGGACGGGGCTGCTGAGGTAGTGCTTCCGGCATAGATGTTTTGGGTGTTACCTCGACTTATTGTCCCAAGGTCTGTGGCCAGCATACAAACCAGGCAGCCCATATTGGACTGGGCAGGTGTTTTGACCTCGTGTTCGGATGACCATTCGCGGTCGCCGGCCAAGCTCATAGCAGTTGACTACGCCTTGGTACCTAGATAGATAGGTAAGAGTCATGATAGATAATGAGAGAGTGGGTTTTCACTACGGCACCAAGCAGTGGGAACCCCGACCTCTCCGCTCGCAGCCATGGAGATCCCCTTTTGGGCACATTTTTGTTCAAGCACTCAGCATCGCATCAGATGGGCAAAGCAGCAAGTCTATGTCTCTCCAAAGAAAAAGGTACTTATGTGTCGCGGAGCTCCGTAAAAAGAAACATTAACTTACTCTCTGAGACCGAGTCCTCATACTGCCAAACCTACGAGATGGAGATTGTTGCCATTGTTGCCTTGTGTGGCAACTTGAGCATGAATCATGAGTTGACGCGTCAGGCCGGTGAACATGCACATGCGGCAAGATGCTCTTTTCCTACTCAGGGCATATCTTTGCTACAGAAAGTCTCTGCCCAGGTGCCAAGAGGATGGCAGGCGACGCTGACATGTGCAGAAGTCGGGCACAAGCCTTGGCTGCGGGGTTTCCATAGCCAAAGGCCGTCCAACAAGAGACAGGGACGATATTAATTCGACCTCTGAACGCAATCGATTCGCTGAACTTGATGCGCGTACAGAAACAATACACTATACCGAGGAAAGGATCGCCATGAGTGTCCTGGGACTCTGTCACTACGAATTTTGAGTGGTGGAGGTATTTGTCGATCTCGAGAACAAAGTATCAGGGATGAACCGCGTACCGCGCTGATCGAGCAGCTGGTGCAATGGTGAGCTAATGCTGCAGACTGACTTCCCTCTTAATGATGAGTGCGTACTATAACATCTTCCATCGCCAAGGCCTTCTTTGGAGCAAACACCGACTCGTGCCAGGAGAGAAAAGGTATTTAAACTGCTTGATCTCCAAGCTCTTTTGTTCTCTCCCAGACAACTCATTCTAACAGTTTACACCATTCCTTGCCTTAATCTTGTCCAATATCTACAACACAAGCCACTCTTCCCAAATCTTATAACTCAACATGAAGCTGCTCTTCGTCACCTCCCTTTTCCTTGCTGCCGCGACTGCACTTCCAGCCAATGGTAAGTCGCCACCACCGCAGAGTCTTTGCTTACCTCCCCCGCCGGAAGACAACATGATTCCGGGAGGGAAAACGAGCTAAGTTGGACCGCTGTAGGCGACAGGATGACCGAGCGCGAGGCAGATTGTGCCGAAGACTGTGTGGAGAGGCTCTGCATGGGCTTCGCCAATCTTGACTACGTCGCTTGTATGCTGAGTGAGTAGAAGGGGACAAACTTTAGTCCTTCGAATCTGAAGTTACTTTTCGAGCTGACCTTCTTTGGTAGGTTGCCAGACTATGTGTAGCTGATCTCCAATCATCTTGTTGTACCGCTTCAAGACATCAACACTCTTACTGTTTACGACTCAAGAAGACTAGATTGATGTAGTGGTCAAAAGATATATGCTGGAGATTTGGAACCGGCGTGTTTTGGAACCATCCTAATAACTAGTCTCTAGCTTCCCCCGAGAGTGTTCAAATTGACCTTGTTAGTACTACCTAATGTGGATTGAAATAGTGAGGCGCTCTATTCAAGAAGACAGTACTAAAGCCGCTGTCTCATCGCTCGAATCTCACAGGGTTGATGACGTGATGTTGGTTCGTTGAGGGTTGTCTTGTGCCGAGCTTTTATCCCCAGTTCTACGAGCGACCGTCACGCTGAAGTTGGCCGTTGATGAATGTGCCGGAAGAATTTTAATCAAATACAGCCATCCTGACAACAGGCAATGCCTTCTGATATGTAGGCCGCATGTGCAACAAATCTCACCGCAAAGCCATCTTGGTGTCATGATACATGATCAAGAAGTTCGGCGCGAGTCAGTGGTCGGAGCGGTACCACCTATTATATCTGGGCGACTGGCCTCGAGAAAGTCATCCACCGATCTTCGCACATGCAGGATCTAAGCATCAGGAAAAGGGGATTTATGAATGGTCCGAACCCTATTCATGCATGCCATACACTTTTGGGTCCAACGAGGCTGGCAACGTGTCTCGTGGCACGGAAAAACCAATACGAGATCCATCTACCTGCCTTGAATTCTTGCTGGGGGAGCCTCTTGCATGGCCGCTAGTTGTCTTGACAACCCTGCCCCTGGGTGCAATGCATGGTATCATGTGCCTGCCCTGGCTCCTGCATGGGCTCAAACTCAATTCAATGGCATGCGCACCCGTTCATCCGTTGACCTACTCCTTGATGTGCCTGTATCGAAGTTTCGGATGGAGGGACAAAGGTCGAGCCCCGCATGTCACAAAATCAGGCATCGGATCGAAGAGCATCTCCCCTACTCAGGTTGCACCCAGCAGTGCTACCCTTTGAGACGTAAGACATTCGTCGCCGAGCTTCAGTCATTCTGACTATCACCTGATTTGTTGTGGACGAAAGCCTGTTCTCGCTCTGTATATGATGTCAAAGGGCGATAGGGGAATGAACAAATACCGCACCAGAGCCATTTGAGGACCGAGGAGGTTGGCGAACGCCAGCAGGTCCTCAGCAGACGTTCGTAGAGACGTTTTCTCCCATGGTTCATGAGGCTGGTCCCCGACGTGGCTCGCATTTCCCACAGCCATCTCATGAATTCGTAGCGCGCCCCCAACCCTTTGGCCACAGAAAAACGGACTGCAATGTCCCAGACATGGCGGCAGTCAGAAGTTGCACTGCATTCACAAGAAACACGAAATGTGGCATTGGCCGAGTCTGTCGGGGCAACGTGTTACCCGTTGTTATAGCAGCACCACGTTGCGGTAGGAGTGGGAAGGAAACGAAGGTGCAGAAGGAGAGAGCAATGGGCGGGTGGATCTGGGGAGCATTGTGTATGCGCGAACACAAGCAATCTGTTGAGCGCTAAATCGGCAACCGGCCGGCGGAGTCGACTGGTGATAGCGAAAGTTATCGCTGTGGCATATGACGTACCCCCAGGCAGTTGATGCTCTTGACGGCGCCAAGAAGAGATTTGCCGTTCGCTCAGCGCAATCGGGGTTCATCTGTACCCATGCCGCGATCCGAAAACGGGGTCTCGAGGGGGACCCAAGCCAAGCCTTTGTCGCCCTATTTTGAGATAGCAATGTGAACGGAGGTTAGGCTTGGGAGCAGAATCAGGCGGGGTCATCTTGGTGGATTGACCGCTGATCGCTGTACAAAGACACTGCACAAAGACACTGCACAAAGACGTTGATGGGTGCAACGCCGATGTAGACCGAGGCGATTGGGCTGAGGCTGAACGGATCGAGCGAGTAGGTACCTGAGGTACACAAGGTACGATGTCGGATACGACACTTGGGTGGCCAGGGTGGTTGCCGAGGCAAAGAGGTCGAGGCGACGAAGGGCAGCCTGTTCTTTCTGGGCTCATTGACAACCTTCTGAAGGAACGCGCAGACATTTCTTGCGGGACCTATAACGCATTCCCGGCGTGTTCATGTGGTGGGGATGGCCACGACAAAAGGTGGTCCGTAACAGGCAAAAACATGATGTTGAAGAATGCCCTTGGAATCAGGGGAAAACCAATGGTCTGTGGGATCTTCCCCCCAGCCTTCCAGTCTTGGCTGCCGCTGTGCCGAAGCCGAAGCCCACTAAAACTGAGGCCCTGGCGATCGCTACGATCGGCCCACCTCAACCACCGAAATGCGCCGGGTGTGGATCCGAACAGACATCGTATCCAGGTGCACCAGCAAGACGAGGTCGAGGTCATCCGACTGTGCTTTTCGCCGATCCTGTCGTAGTGCCTCGTAGTGCCTCGTGAACACGGCGCCATCGAGGTCGATACCTCGCCGACAAAGCAGTGGCATCGTGCAGATGGCCAGCAACCACGCTGATTCACTCTGGCGATGCGACATGTCTTGCCCACATGGCAAAAGGGAAGGGAGGCAGAATGCCCCTGGGTGGTAGTACTATTAATAAACAGGCTGGAGCCTTGCGTCATTCTTTCTTCAGCAAAAGATATGGGATGTTGCAATCTGGGGTGGGCAAGCTAACATTCCATAGCGCAACCTAATGCCCTCTGTAGTATTCGGCGGCAGGACTCACTTAGCGCAGCGGCCGCGGGTCCAATGGTTCAGACCAGCCATCTCCCTACTGCCACGGTTCCCTCGAGCTAGGGCGTCAACCTCGTATTCCCCATACAACATGTAGCACCCAGACAGGACAGAAGGTTGAAGCTTCTCGGCGGAGTCCGTCCTCGCACGCGGCTCTCCAAACACTAAACAGATTTGTTGTTTACCCCTATAAGTACCGACCCTTCCCTTGTTGTTTGTTTGTGAAGTCTCCAAAACCAAAAGCCATCAAGCGTTTCACATCACGCAACTGTCTAGCATCAGCCACATCTCACTCTATCTACCTACCTACCTACCTACCTCTAAGGTACCTACCTATCAACATGAAGTCTTTCACCGTCCTCGCTGCCCTGGCCAGCCTCGGCGCCGTCTCGGCACAGACAAACAACTGCCCTGCCCCAGGCTCGACCAGCGCTGCTGGCGACTACAGCTGCAACCCGGCGCACGCGTACCCCGAGGGCCAGCAGTGCGTCCTCGTCAACGGATGCTACTTCCTTCGCTCCAAGGCCGCCTCTTCCACGGCTGCTCAGCCCTCCGCCACCGGCTGCCCTGCCCCTGGCGCAACGAGCGCTGCCGGCGACTACAGCTGCAACCCGGCCCACGCGTACCCCCGAGGGCCAGGAATGCATCCTCGTCAACGGCTGCTTCTTCCTTCGCAACAAGGCCGCCGCGTCCCGCCGCTGCCCCGATGGCCGCCGCTTCCGAGCCCACCGGCACCAGCTGCCCCGCGCCCGGCTCGACCAGCGCTGTTGGCGACATCAGCTGCCTCCCCACCCAAAAGTATTCCGAGGGTCTGGAGTGCGTCCTCGTCAACGGCTGCTACTTGCTACGTCCCATGTGCAGCACGTCCTCCACCGCCGCCCCCAAGCCCACCACCACCAGCTGCCCTGCGCCGGGCTCGACCAACGCCGCCGGCGAGTACAGCTGCAACCCCGCCCACAAGTACCCCGAGGGCCAGCAGTGCGTCCTCATGGACGGCTGCTACCTGCTCCGCACCACTGGTGGTGTCCCGACCACCCACCCCAACACCACCGTCCCCGCCACCAGCACCAAGCCCGTTGTCCTGCCCACCAACACCGTCACCGCCGGCGCCGGCGCTCTCTCGGCTTCGCGCCTCTCTGCCGTCGCCGGTCTGGTGGCTGCCGGTTTCTACCTGCTGCTCTAAGTGGCAGGCGCGCTTTGCTTTTTTTTGTTTTCTTTTCCATTTTCACGAAAAGGACGGGGCCGGGATTTTTAGATGATTATTTACACTACGCCGTGATTTATATGCTTAGATCGAACAGATAGCCTCATGCAGCGGTATAATATACTACACACTTTGAATTCC